TAAGACTCATGTTTTATATTCACGATCAGATTATAAGTAAATTGTTATTTTTAACCATATATTAAGAGAAGCTAACCGTGCATCAATACTTTAGCTTGTCAAGCTTTATCATTGTGGATATTTCCATTGCAGGGTATAGAATCATTCTCTTTAAAAGTTTTGGTCCAAACCTTTCAGTAGCTAACTAGTTTTTGTGTGTTTTCCGCTGTTTCTTATTAAAGTAGTTGTGAGAATTTGTTAATAGGCTTAGAAATAATTTTTCACTGTACATGCTGCTCTGGGAAAGATATTGGGAAAAAAATTGAGTGCGTGCAAACTAAATCATGTGAGCCCCTTTTGTTTTCTAATTTCTATTATGTTATATCACCATTACAGAGAATCCATTCAGATAGTTGTATTTAAAACAAAAAGGGAACCCTTTCAGCTCTCCTACAGGACACATTGAAAAGAGAGATGGTTTGCCAGTTTTTGCCAAACCACTTTGGCTTCTTGCTTTGGTTTTATAGTTACATTCCATGCCTTTTCCCTCACTGGTCTCCATCATGTTTTGGTTTGCATTGTGTAGTTATTTTCTTTTGAGTAGGAGCCAAAGCGCTTGTTGGCTTCCCCTCTTCAAATCCAAACAATAATCATCTTCAATCCAAGACTATATGAGATATCAAATGCGTGTGCCAATTCAAATCAAGTTTTGTCCTTTGCTATGGAAAATTGTGCAAATCCTCTTCATAAGGATGATTCATTGTCTCTCATCTTTCCTTGCTTGTGTATCAAATGAGCAATGAAGCATATTATTCAATATTCATGATTCATGAAAAGTATGATTTGTAATATAGTTTTTGTATTATATATATATAGTCATAGATGGATTTTTTCTTCATTTGTTACCAATACAAAAATCATTTTTTATATGATTATCTGATATGCAGTATTATTGGATCAGATTTGAGTATTATAAAGTCCAATTAGTAGTTTGTCTTGTGATATCCCATTTTTTAATTCATATGACTTAATGATATTACAATATGATATCATTGAATAGACTAGGGTTTAGAAAAGCCATTTAAAGTTATAAACACTTAGGAGTGAGAAAAAAGCATCATAGGATGTGGAATTTGGGGGAGAAATTATAGCTTTTGTGCAAAAAAGGCCTATGTCTATTGAAGGACATAGTTCCTATATGTTGTTTGCTTTGTTCAATTTGAATGGGCTCCTATCACGAAAATCAAAGGAAAGAAAGAACTTTAGTACGGAGGTGAGGTAATTGGGACTCCATTGGGATTTGAATTTCACACATTCGGAAGTATTTTCAAGCATCAAATCACTCGTGTTTCAATCACGATTTCTACCATCCTGACCATAAGTTGTTGGAGTCTTGGAGATTGGTATGCTAGGATTTTGAATTTAATTAAAATGTCCTAATAGAAGTTATCTAACTGTTTAATTAGTTTAGTTTCACCCTATCGGGTGATTTGAACGATTTTGAGAAGGATTTGATGAAAAATGGGAGTTTACATGAGATACAATGATTATACTAATTGATTATGAATTAGATGCTTTAAATGAATCTAAGGTGATTGAAGATCAATAGGCCTTGAAGATTATCATGATTCACATACCAGGTATGTTTGAGTCAAATTCTAAGGTTCTGTTTGGTATGAAATATCGAGAATGAGAGGTGAGGATCGAAATTGAGATTATGAAAAACTATTAAAAAAAATATTTAGGGGGGTGTTTGGATAAAACCAAACCAATGTTTGGATAATAACTTCTGGAGAATAGATTTTTGAGAAAATAGATTTTGTGAAGAATAAATTTTGATAAAGTGAGAGTGTTTGGATAGCTGTTATCAGAAGCATTTTTTTTATATGTGCTAATTACTAAAAATGATATAAATTAATATGATAATTACATAAAAGATGGATTTTATAATATATTTTAATTTGAAGAGATAAAATTGTTAATAATATATTTTTTACCAACATAATTAATGATATATAAGACAATGTAATTAATAAATAATTAATATTTGTATATATGTTTATAAAATATAAGATTAAATATGTTCATAAAAAAATAATTGAGGGGTATTAAAGTCATATTATCGTTGAGATATATTCTGACAGGTATAATCAAACTCTCCAATTTGAGCCAGAGGCGGAATGGATTCACTTTTTCTGAAACCATGGTTTTGAATCCAAAACCATGGTTTTGGCCCCAAACCATGGTTTTGAATCCAAAACCATGGTTTTGGCCCCAAACCATGGTTTGTTAATTTTACCCCCTGTTTGGCAACTTTTTTACCCAAACCATGGTTTGGGATGTTACCCAAACATGCCCTAGTATAAGTAATTGCTTGTTACATGAGATTAGCCAAACCCATTGAGACGGAATTGGAAAATACCACTGCCTATATGAGTTGGTCCAATACTATATAACAAGTAATCTCTCATGTTAAATACTCTTTTAATATTTTTTTTAATCTCAATCACAGTCTTTACCTCTTATTTTTAATATTTCGTATGATATGAGACCTAAATGATGAATTTGGAGATGTTGATGGATTGGTGGAATTTCAAATGAATTAGTTAAATTGTTTAGTTTCCAATATAAATTATTAAAATGAAGGATAATATTAGAAAATTAACTTATACACAAATAACTAATTTAACTAATTTTTTTAATTTTTGATCAAAATTAATTTTCATAATGAATTAGTTATTTAGTTTCTACATCAATATTAGATAGGGTAGAATATTGTGATTATTATATTAAATTATACTCTCTTTTATCTTAAATGTAAAAATTGAAAGTTTATTTTGATCATCAATTTTTTTTCAAACTATCCTTATTAAATTTTTTCCCAACAAACTATCCTTATTAATTATCAATATGGGCAATTATTAAAGGGCACATTTGACCAAACATTGTCAAATATATGAATTTTTGGGCCACAAATAAAAGAATAAGAGAAAAAAAAAACCATCAATGGCCATTGGCCAATTCATTTGCCGGTTTGCGTCAGGCCAGCAAGCAGCCACAATATTACGGATCCGGATGTTCTCAGCGGCCATTTTCTCCCTTTCCCTCAGAAGCTTAATATCCTACCCGTCCAGTTGATCTGACGGCCTGCATGAAGACATCTCATGAAGCTTTTTAGAATCGCATCCGAACCATCCATCTTGATATAATCTGGTCGTTCATTTACGTTGTGTTTGACTTGACGGAGGAAAAGGGAGGAGAGGAATTTTAATCAAGAAAAGGGAAGATGAGAAAAGGAAAGGATAGCTACAAACGGGACTGGAGGGAGGGGAAAGGAAGAGGAGGGATTTTAATGATCTCTTATTTGGATTGATTAGAGGGGAGGGAATAGAGCAATTTTAATAATACCTTATTTTGTTCTAATAAAAAATTAACTATTTTAACCTCATAAAATTTAAATGAATTTTCTCACTTTTTTATTTTATTAAGATATAACTGTATATATAATGCAATTTACCAATTTTAAATTACAAGATACAGTTACACACTTATTAGATATCCAGATAAAAACTCATGAGTGATAGATTTCAATCAGAGAAAAACTTTCAAGGTGAAAGAAAAGACCGATGGCCTCTTGGAATTAGAAGAAGAGGGAAAAAAAAGTTTACAAATGCTCTCTAATTTTAAAGACAATTATCTCAACAACCTCTTGATAGATATTCAAAAGAACTGTCTTATGTAGAAATGTTTATGACTGATTAGGAGTTAAAAAATAGAAAGGGTATATAAGGAATTAACATATTATCTTTCATCTCCCTTTCAAAAAACCTCACTTTTAGAAGAGAGACTAGAAGGGAAGAGAAGGAGAAAAGAGTCCATCCCCGCTTTAAAAAATATTTTAACCAAGCTCCTCTCTCCTTCTAAAAAATTATACTAGCCAAACAAGAAGAGGGGAGCAACTTCCCTTTCCTACCCTTCGAAAATTCTGTACCAAACATAGTGTTAACTGTGTATTCTGCGAAATCCCTTCAGGGTTCAGAGGGCCATTTTTCGTCGAAGTTCCACCCCCGGGCAATGCAGACAGGAAGCTCTGTCGTCCAGTCACCCATCGTTGGAAAATATGAGAGAATCTCCATAGCTTTGCTGAAAGTAGTTTATTCAGGTATCTACATTACACCTCTTCCTCCATATCTTTCCCCTTCTTTTCCATCTCTCTCTTCCTCATTCTTGACGGCTTGAATACCCGAGTAAGTAGAGGTTCTTTCCAGAAAATTAGCAATGTTATTGCATTTAAATTAGAATCTTTTGTATGCTACTATTAAAATCTAAGATGACCTGTGCTGCTATGGGCGTATACGCTAAGCAATTGTGCTAAGATTCTTTAAAGCATAATTTTTGTTCTAATTTTCACAGTTTCTTTTTGGTTTGCATCGTATGATAATTTCATGGAACTATTGTATTCTTCATTTATTTCCCCCCATGATAAGCCATGCTGGTTTTGTATTGGAGAACTAATATTCTAAACGAAGTTTGCAAAATTCCAATGATGTGGATGGGTTGAAATTATTTGGCTGGATTAGCATTATTTCATTGCTTTACTGTTTCCCGTGGATATTTCTATATTTATTGAATCAAGTTATTTGGCACTTTGTTGGATATCTTCTATCTCTTTCATGATTGTTTTGGAAAATGGAGAGAAGATGCGCAGTGCTCAATCAAAAGCATGATAGCAGAGCAAATTAGTCAAGGATTGTTTAATTTCTTCCTCTATAAATATGGAATGAGATTTATCTAGCTAATAAATAGCATTGTACAGCCTGATTTAACAAAAAAGGTTCAGCTTATGATAACTCATAGAGTTTAAATCTATTTGAGAACAATAAGATGCCCGTGAAGTAACAAATAAAGATTCTATATATATTTTTCAAACTCTTTGCCTGTACCAGCAATACATGAAACATGGCTCGAGAGCAAACTACATATACACGAGACAGTTTTGTTGTATGAAATATATGGCATTACAACTTTTTTATGACCACATACTAACATCTACATTGCTCTTCTTTAATTTCTTCCTTCTTGTTTGGTGAAGGTGCATCTTCAATAACAACTTCAACAATGTCTAATCAATTCCTAGCAGGTGAAGGTCCAGAAGGTCCATCTTCTATAGCCTCAACAATATTTAGTCAACATGAGAGATAATGTAGCTACCACCTGTAATAACAATTCAAATTCCAGCACTTCAGTCATTCAATCCACCGAGTTGTATTTTGTATGACATGACAGCAACTTGTATTTTCTTTCATAGGACAACAAATTCTGTTTTGTCCATTATGACAGCTAGTTCAACACGTGTCAAGTTCTATTTCATTAAATACGGAAGAGAAAGCTATGTTTTGTTCCATTGGTCATTTCCAGAGGTAGCTTTTCCAGCAAACTTGGTCTCCTAATTTGTTTAGGAGATGTGTAAATCATTATTATTTGGAATCAATCTATCTATAGTAATGTAACTTTGTCCGGTGACAATATCACAAAAGCTCTCATGGCGGAACACCCTATGGTCTAAATAAAGATTTACTCTGCAACTCTTAAAAGAACTTAAAAAAGCAATAAGCAATAAAAAATTCAGACTCACTCCTCTCCAACATCTCTGAGTATGTTGGTTAACTGGCTTGCAATTCCTAGTCTCTTCGATCATATCTTTAAATGACTGCATAAACCAGAACAGAAGGTATTGAAGGTGCACAAAATTTGTGGAAGCCAAAGTTGTGGATGGATGATTATTGTTATCTGTAGATTACATTCACTGCCAATATATTGACTCTAACTGATTGTACGTAGAAAACCGGAGAAAATCATGATACGCCAACTAACAACTCAACTAGAAGGTCAGAATAACATCTCATTTGATTTTGTTGAAAAACAGAGAAATCATGGAACTGCGGGAGTATAGAGAGATACAAACAAAACCAGAAGATCTCCTTCCACCAAAATGATAAAAGAAAAATGGATAATTCACCAACATAATTTTTCCATCTAAACTAAAAGTGACAACTTCGCTCATCTTAAGATCGAGACAAACTTGCGAACGTAATAGTTGCAACAAAAAGAAAAATGCAGATTTCCAGAAGTTTGCAAGCTATTCCCAAACCAAACTTGCTAAAGATACATTCCGACTAAAGGTGCATATGAAAATAATCAGTCGGAAATTTAAAAAAAAAATTGTAAATCAGAGGGATGAAAAAATTTACTGTCTTCAGGCCCGTGGAGATGCACATAAAACTCCTACATGCCATCATTAATCATCTCCACCCTGTAATCGCTCATCCTCCGGATTTAATTGATCCAACCAAAAAAATTCGAACAAGAACTTCAAATTAATCAAATGGAAAGGGGAAAAGGAAGAACAAGAAAAAGCATAGTTCAACAAGGGATGGAGGAATAGTTGCGGCAAAGATATGGAGGAAGAGTTGTAATGAAGACACCAGACCAAATAAGCTACTCTCAACAAATTCTCTCATAGTGCCCGACCATGGGTGACGACAGAGCCCCTGTTTGCACCGCCGATGGGCAGGGAACTTCACGAGAAACGGGAGTGTATTCGTGAAAGAAAGCTATAGGGATTTGGCAGAATATGAAATTGAATGAGCGGCCAGGATCATAACAAGACGAATGGCTTAGATGTGATTTTGAATGCTTTATGACGTGTCTCTTGGTGAGAGTTCGGATGAAATGGACGGTCAAGAATTGGAGATTCTAAGAGATGGGGAGAAAATGGCCGCTGAGAGGATCTGTTCCCCAATGTTACAAACCAACAATGTCCAGGTGCATTCCTCGTCAATCCCACGCCAAGCACAAAGCCTCGCGCTCATTTTCATTTCATTCTTCATCAATCTCATGATATCTTCCATCACCATGTTCTTCCACTGAACATCAAAGATTAGGGTTTGGATCCCCTCGTTCCCCCACTTTGTGTTATATTTTCAATGATGCGGTTTCGTTGCTACATCGAGTCCATTTACAAGCACTGTCACTGCACTTTCTTCAACTCTCCTTGTCGTTGTATCTGTTGCTGTTACTGTTGTGCTTAGGAGATATTGTGGTTGTCGTCGCATTTACTTGTACATATAAGTTTTGTTTCATCAATCAGAGAAGAATTTCACTATTTGTGCATATAATTTTTGTCGTCGGATCGGTTTTGTTTTGGTTTTTGATGGACATATCCCGTCCTCAGTCAAATTTGTCCCTTGGCTTTTCTTCTCACGCTTCGCCATCTCAACGGACCCAGATAGCTGACGACTCCATCCCTCTTCAGCTCGACTCAAGCTTCCGCGATCCCACGCAGCCAGTACCTCCGGTTCCACTTCAGTTGTTGGAGCCGCTGGCGGATAATCACAAAGCGGAGAATGGGACCTCGGCGGTAGATTCGGATGAAGACGAAGATAGGGAGGTAAAAGAGTTTCGTATCCTTGGGCATTCGATGTGCTTGAAGAGGCGAAGAGATAGCGAATCATCATCGTCGTCTTCCAGTTCTTCCAAGTGGGGTTCGTTGGACCCCAATCTTGAGGCGCGGAGAGGGGCTGTTCGATCATGGGGTAATCAAACTCTACGAGCTGCGGACCCTGATATTTATGAGATAATGGAGAAGGAGAAGGAAAGGCAGTATAAAGGGATTGAATTGATAGCTTCGGAGAATTTTGTGTGTCGAGCTGTGGTGGAAGCACTAGGGAGCCATTTGACGAATAAATATTCAGAGGGAATGGCGGGTGCACGATATTATGGAGGGAATCAATATATTGATGAGATTGAAATGCTCTGTTGTGAACGCGCATTGGCAGCATTCAATCTGGACCCTAAAAGTTGGGGCGTAAATGTGCAACCTTATTCATGCACCTCTGCGAACTTTGCTGTATACACGGGATTGTTGTTGCCTGGTGATCGTATCATGGGGTTGGATACACCTTCTGGCGGGAACACTAGTCATGGGTACTGTACTCCGAACGGGAAGAAAGTTTCTGGGGCGTCAATATTCTTTGAGAGTTTTCCATATAAGGTGAATCCTCAAACGGGTTATATAGATTTTGATAAACTAGAGGAAAAGGCGCTTGATTTTCGTCCTAAGATACTTATTTGTGGTGGGAGCTCATATCCTCGAGAGTGGGATTATGCCAGGTTTAGGAATATTGCAGATAAATGTGGAGCCGTGTTAATGTGCGATATGGCCCAGATCAGTGGACTTGTTGCAGCTAAGGTGTGAATTGCTTACTCCTGGTGGTTTAATATTGCATTAATGGCTGTACTTTGCTCTTGGTTACTCTGGAAAGCTCATTCTGTGTCTCCTCTTTGTCTGCATCATAGCATCACGGTAGTGGCAGCTCGCATTGTTGGCTCTGCCACACTGGTTGTGGTTCATGGTTACACTTTTTAGCCATTTGCTCTTCCACCTGTCCCCATTTTATGAACGGCAAACACTGCAGAGTTTGCAGAAGAAGTTATCCTAATGCACCACTACGCTTTTATTGTTGTGCCTCCACTCTTGGATTGGCTGGAATTTATAACTGAATTTAATGATAAATGAAATAGAAAGTTAATTAGTGGAAAACAGAGGATATAAAATCAATGAAGTAGAAAGTTAATTAGTGGAAAACAGGGGATATAAAGACCCAAGTGCCAACAACCCACAAAGAAGAGTAGCATGAGCGCAAAAGAGGCCTTCAATCCTGGTTCAATCCTATTCAGGATGCTCTTTGGATGTTTGAGCATCCCACTCTATACAAAGCCAGCTAAGGACGACATGCATAGCATGCTCCATAATTGAACTATATCCTTCTTACAGTCAAAATCTTTCTAGTTCAATCGGTGGAAACTGCTCCATGTTTTTGAGGGTATGCCAACGCTTACCAAAAATGTGGAAAAAGCCTACATAGAATGCAACTTACTGCCTGATGCTGTTTAACTTTTAGTCTCTCTAAGAATGTCAAGTTTGAAAAGAAGTCCATGCTAAATACGGTTACAGAATTTAGACAAAGGCAATCAGCTTGCAAATTAGTAATATTAATTTGATTACTTTGATATACAATTTACATGTCACTGGTCTCTGCATGCAATTTTTGTCATTTGCTTCTGTTTTCTTGTGCTTTTGTCTGAGTTTCTACATTGGCAATTTAAGTGTGTGAGCTACATAATAAGCCATGCTACTATGGAATTCAGCATGATATTCAATACAGGTTAGTGTCTTTTTAATGAGAAAAAAATGCTTCATCAGAGTTAAGCAACATTACGAATGATGATGAAAATAAATCTTTGTGAAAGAAATTTACATGATAAAACAGAAGAGTCTCTCTTGAAATTTGAGAACCATCTGTATCCCGAATTATAAAAAGATTGTGGCAGATTCAGAATTAGGCATAACTTAAGTACCAGTTATTAACATTTTGGATTTAGTTTTATTAAATTGCATCAATGTAGAATGCTTCATTATTATGATATACAATCAAAATGTTGGAATAAATTTAGATTCTGGAGTATCAGATTTCTATAATCTATTGACATAATGTTATTGAATCCAGAGGTTTTGAGTACTTGCTGCTTGATATAGATTTTAGTGTTCAACATTTAAACTGATTTGAGGTATATTTCTATTTAAAGCAAACTTCCTGGGTATTTATATTCTAAACTTAAGGATACAGCTTGTCTAATTCCATTTTTGTCTTGTACTATTAACTAGTAGTTTGTGCACTTTCAAAATTGAAGAGACACTTACCAGTTTGGTTTTGTTGTCTTTTCAGGAATGCGTGAATCCGTTTGACTATTGTGATATTGTTACTTCAACAACTCACAAAAGTCTTCGTGGTCCTAGGGGAGGTATAATTTTTTATAGGAAGGGTGCAAAAGCAAGGAAGAGAGGGATACTTCTAAGTCAGGGATATGAGAGTGAACAATATGACCTTGAAGAAAAGATAAACTTTGCTGTTTTCCCATCCTTGCAAGGGGGGCCATACAATAACCATATTGCTGCTCTTGCCATAGCTTTAAAACAAGTGGCTTCTCCTGAGTACAAGGCCTACATGCAGCAGGTGAAGAAGAATGCCCAAGCTTTAGCATCTGCTTTATTAAGAAGAAAATGCCGCCTAGTAACAGGGGGTACAGACAATCATCTAGTACTTTGGGATCTAAGGCCTTTAGGATTGACAGGTATATTATATGAGTGTCGCATACAGATCTTTTTAGAATATTTTGCAAGTTGCGTAAATGTTTATTAAGTCTATGCATGCAAGTTATCTGCACTTAATTTTTTGGCCCCTCATGTACTTGTGTTACAACTTCTGATCGGCAAGATTCCAACATGGAAGAAGTAGGCTGATCCAGAAAAGCATCCTTTTGCCTTTAATGCTTGGTAGGAGCTTATTTAATACTGCAGCTATTCAAGGTTTGTGACTTTGATTTTGTTTATCTGTTATTGAAGACTTTCACAAATGGGACTGGGCCACTGTTGGGCAGTGACTTGATGTTTAAGTGCAAGGTCCGCTTTATCTTGAATATGCATCAAAATGTTCTACGTCATCTTACATGAAGGCATCTCATAAATACAACAATACATGTATCAATACATTCAGGATATCCTCATGCATATGGCATTTTGTTGTAGCTGTAAATCTTATTATAGCTATTCAGCGGAATGCCTTGTTCTCATAGGGGGCTTTTTTTTGTCCATTTTGTTGGTTGCTTCTTTCTGTATGATTTAATTGTGACAAATAGTTAATTTGAAAATTTTGTTTGTTTATAAACTGGGATAAGATCTGAGTATCATTTATTTATCTTTGCAGGTAAATTTTATGAGAAGATATGCGAGATGTGTCATATTACTTTGAATAAAATTGCTATCTTTGGTGATAACGGAACTATAACTCCTGGAGGTGTAAGGATAGGTGTGTGATGATTTATTACATTAAAATTGTTTAGCCTTCTTTTATGCTTGGTGTATTGACTGTACATTCTTATAGCTTTATGGCATCTTACTCAGGTACACCTGCCATGACTTCAAGAGGGTGTCTGGAGACTGACTTTGAAACAATTACTGAATTTCTTTATAGAGCAGCACTAATTGCAAATGTAGTGCAAAGAGATTATGGGAAATTGCAGAAGGTTGTTTTGAAAGGTCTTGAGAGCCACAAGGACATTGTTGAGCTCCGAGCACGGGTTGAGGCCTTTGCAGCTCAATTTGCAATGCCAGGTTTTGACATTTGAACATGGGAACACAGGGGCTTTTTGTGCATATGGTGGAGAGCTCATTGGCATCTTAGGCTGTTCTCAGGTCTATGCAGGTTATGATGCATAACAATGTGGGACAGACAGTACGCTGAACTGTGTACTACTGTTGAGGATTCTTCCAATAATCAAGCGTCTTGTCACCTTGGAGGAACCTTGTCTGCTGATAGCACTTGCAGCATATTGACTATTTCAAATGTTGGGAAAGGGCTTTTGACCAACCGCTCCTAGTCCAGAATAAGTTGGTACTGCAAGGTTAGATGCCTTGAATT